AAGGAAAACCTTCCATAAATTAGAGAAATTAAAATTTGATATAATCTGCCTACAAGAATTACATATGAAAAAACAATATGAACAATTGTTGATACAGCCAAAATTAGGGAAAATATTTACTTCCTTGACACAATGTAAGAAAAGAGGAATGGTTTTATATATTAAAGAGACCATCCCAGCGAAATTGATTTATACTGATGACGATGGAAGAATACTAATGGTGGAAATAATGGACAATAATACGAAAACACTCCTGATTGCAATCTATGCTCCGAGTGACAAACAAGAAGAATTCTACAAAAAATTACATATGAAAATAATTGAACTGGACTATGCTAATACAGTTATGATGGAAGATTTTAATGGAATTGTAGACAATAAACTGGACTATACAGCACAGAAAACAATAAGACTCTCCCTAAATCTTTTTTTAAAATGGTAGATGAAATAAACTTAAAAGATACAAGGAGAGAAAGAAATGCTAAAACTAAACAATATACCTTCTATTCAAATAGACATTTATCATGGTCCAGAATAGATATGATATAGATGTCAACAGAATTGTTAACTAATATTCAAGAAATAAATATTGAAACAAGTTCTTGGGCAGATTACAATCCAATGACAATTAAATGGAAAGGACAAAGAAGAAGATCTAGATGGACGTTAAATAATATTATTTTAAAGGAAAAAGACTTCACACAGTGGATGGAGAAAGAACTGCCTTTTTTCTTTAGAGAAAACAAAAAAGAAGATACATCAATCCAGAATGTATGGGATACAATGAAGGCATATGCCAGAGGCTTGATAATAGACTGTATAAGGAAAAGAAATACTATGAAAAGATTAGCCTCTAAGGCATTAGAGGATGAGTATAAAGGACTTGAAAAAGAGCTACAGAAAATGCCACAGAAAAAGGACATTAAGTTAAAAATGGATATAACCAAACATAAAATGGGTCTAATAGAAAAAGAATTAGCACAGAAAATTAGAGGTGCTAAACAGAACTATTTTGAAGATGCAAATAAACCAGGTAGATGGTTAGCATATAAATTGAGAAAGGAGAAAGAATCAAGAAAAATATTGCAATTAATAGATGACCAAGGCCAAGTTTGCTATGGTAGTAAAGAGAAGAAGGAAATCATTCAAGACTATTATGGGAAACATATAAACACAAGAGAATATTGATGAGGAAAGAGTTAAACAGTATTTACAGATACCTAAAGAGATTGAAACAGTGTTAGAAAGCAATATAACAATGATGGAGTTAACTGAAACACTCAAGAAGCAAAATAATGGAAAGGCACCGGGCCCAGATGGACTTCCGGCAGAATTTTACAAAACATTACAAGAATCATTGAATCTTCCATTACTAGAAGTTATGAATGAAGTTATGTTAAAGAAGAGGATACCTAAATCATGTCAGAAGCTTATATCACACCTGTTCCAAAAGAGGAGACCGATCCATTACAAATCAAGAACTATAGACCTATTTCCTTACTAAACGCAGATTATAAAATTTTTGCTTCAATATTGGCAGAAAGACTTAAAAAATATTTAAATAATTTTATCCATCCTGATCAAAATGGATTTCTGCCAAAGAGACAAATTAAAGACAATATGAGAGTAATCTTGGACACTTTGGAATACTATGAGGCACATCCTGAAAAACAAATGGCTCTGATATTTTTAGATGCACAGAAGGCATTTGATAATGTGAATTGGCAATTCATGTTATTATTGCTGGAACAGATGGGCTTTGCTAGAAAATTTATTCAAGCAATAGAAGCTATATATCATAAGCAAACAGCAAAGGTAATGATGGAGGGAGAACTGACAGACTCTATCGATATAAGAAAAGGAACAAGACAAGGGTGCCCCCTATCACCTCTGTTGTTTGTGTTAACTTTGGAAGTGCTAAATAGAAATATTAGAGATGAAAAGAATATCAAAGGGATGAAAATTAAAAAGGAAGAATTTAAGTCGCAAGCATTTGCAGATGATCTGGTTTTCATCTTAGAAGACCCACTAGAAATAGCATCAAAATTGATAGAAAAGATAGACATATGGAAAGGTGGCTGGTTTGAAAATAAATAAAGATAAGACAAAGATCTTGACAAAGAATATGCTATCAAGACAAAAGGAAGAACTGGCAGACCTATTGAAAATTCAGGTTACGAATAAGATCAAGTACTTGGGGATATACTTGACAGCAAGATGCAGTACACTAAAAGAGAATAATTATATCAAACTTAAACAGCAGATAGCGCTAGATTTGGTGAAATGGGAAAATTTACAACTGTCATTAATAGAGAGAATATCAACAATCAAGATGAATATATTACCCAGAATTTTATATTTGTTTCAAACAATTCCAATTAGGCTTGGAAAAGACTACTTTGAAGATTTAAATAAAATTGTGTTGAAATATATATGGCAAGTTAAGAGAGAATAAAGTTAAAACTTTTGCAAGATGCTAGAATAAGAGGAGGATTTGGTTTGCCTAATTGGGAGTTGCATTACCAAGCTACAAATTTGATGTGGGTTAAGGAATGGATAACATTAAGAAATACTAGATTGTTGACATTAGAAGGACATGATCTGTTGTTGGGGTGGCATGCTTTTCTATGGCATAAAGGAACTAAAACACAGGGGTACTTTAGAAGACATTGTATACAGGAGTCTCTGTGGTTAAATTGGGAGAAGACTAAAAGACAATGTTATTTGAAAATTCCAGTCTGGCTATCGACTATTGAAGCATTTTCTTGTCCTATAATATGCAAAAAGGAACAAACAATTAGATATGGTGAAATATTGAATGAAAAGGGTGAACTTAAATCTATACAAAAACTAGAGGAACAAGGTATAATGATGAATTGGTTTTCATATGCGCAAATACATTCAAGGTATGATAAAAGATTCTAAAACAGAAGGTTTCTATGATAAACTGACTTACTTAGATAAGATTTTGACAGGTACTGATGAAAAGGTGATTAAAAAATTGTATGGATATTTATTAGAAATTAAACTAAAGAAGAACAAGTTAAAGAAACTATGATTGCTTGGGGGAAGAATTTTGGCTATGGGATTGATTTAGAGAAATGGCAAAAATTGTGGTCTCAAAATTATAAAATGACAATGTCAACAGCATATAAAGAAAATTTGTATAAGATGTTTTACAGGTGGCATTTTTCCCCGACAAGAATGTTCCAGAATAAATCCGAAAAATGTTGGAAATGTCATCAGACACCTGGCTCATATTACCATATGTGCTGGACTTGTGCAGACACTAAAAAATACTGGACTAAAATCCACATGTGGTTGGAAAAAATGACAAAAAAACATATAGATTTGAAACCAGAGATATTTTTATTGGGAATTTTACCTGAAATATATAGTAAAGACTTGAAATACCTGATTGTAAATGTATTAACAGCGGCTAGGATTGTATTTGCTAAAAACTGGAAAAATGAGAAAACACCATGACAGGAGGAAATCATTAAGAAAATATTGGAATGTGCTGAAATGAGTAGATTGACATTTGAAATTAGAGAACAAGATGATAAACAATTTCATAAAATTTGGGATCTATTCTATCAATGGTTAGACAATAAAATATATTAATGATATATGTAGACTTTTAGAAAATAATAAATATATAAAGATGTATTCTTTTCTTATTATATCTACAAAACGATTCTAGGATAGATTTGGGATGATAATATGAACTGTCATAAAACAAATTAAGTAAAATATGATTATTTCGTAAAACATGAATGAATAAAAGTATAATCAAATGATTGATTAATAATGATATTAATGTATTTAATATTTGATTGAAAATACGAGATTATATACAATGTAATTGTAATTGAAGACTACGAAATGGAAGCACAAAACAATTTGTAAACCAACCGGCACACTGTATGTATATATATATATATATGGAAGATGACTTGATGTTTTTATGTTTTGTTTGTTTATGTTTGTTTTAAAAACCAATAATTTTTTTTTAAAAAAAGCAAAAAATAAAAATAAAATAAAAACAAAGAAAAAGAAAAGAAAAACAAAATAATCCTTCCACGACGCTTAGGAATCAGCTTGATGGGCAATATTTTTCTTCAGAGAAGGGAGAATTAGCATTCCTGATCTTGTTTCTAACTAACGATAATATGTAACTAATAATTCTGTATACAACATAAACAAAAGTAAGAATATTGGGCTAGGGGCAGAAAATATGGTGTAGTGAAATACATATCTTAGACTTCAAGAAATCTGATTGTAAAAACCCTTAATGATTATATATAGGACTCCACAGTAGTAGGAGAAAATTGGAAAAAATATGCACAGATGAACAGGAATTTCTGAAAACTGGGATTCTAAAAAGAACAATTGGAAACAATTAAAATGTGGAAATCAAAAAGAAGGAAGCAGAAAAAAAACCAATGGGGTTGTTCATAAAGTTTAGTGAAAAAACTAAAAATCCAAAAAGGCACATATAATGAGAGTAGAATGAGAGACATGTTACCAAGAAACAGTACATACGTAGATTGGTAGAAGGATGTCAGGAAAACTAAAGAGCAGAATGTACTGAGATTAGCAAAAGGACTTATTTAGAGTTGTTCAGAGTAACAAAGAAAACAATCAATATACCAGCTGCTCTTTGAGGAGGGCAGAACAGATAACAAAGAAAAGGCAGTGCTACTTAAATCCTATTTTGGTCACATCTTCTCAGAGAAGATATGCATTCAACTAGGCAATTTTGAAGAACAGATTGAAGGAGCAGCATTTTCGCTTCAGTTTAATCAAAATAATCAGGAGAACTTATTGCCCATGAACGAGTTCACATTTCCATATGAATTGTTTCTTAAAATATTGAAGGAACCCTGTTTCCTGTTTGGTTCTATATTTAATCAGCCAATATCAGGCTTACCATATTTTTTCTTGTGATATTTGAAACATTAAATACAATTAGAACAGATAACAGTTCACTAAATCACCTTTGGAAAATCCTTCTGTTATTGCAGGTTTTGTGACTCCTTCATTAATCACTGGGTATAAACTAAATCTGTATTTTTCAATGAGTATGAAGTTATCTGGAATGAAACAATAATGTTTAATTTACAAGTACCAGCAACTCACAATCAGTCAGATTCATAGAAGAGACTCACCACTACCACCTCAGAGCTAAAGAAAGTCAAGCACCAGTTTGAGACTTACAAGTTTGGAAAACCGGCACCTTCCTATATTCCATTGTTTTAACATTGGAGAGCTACAAATAGCTTCTCAAAATCGCAAATAAAATGTTATGACATATAACAATAATACTCTTCTTGTTCATCTACCACAATTTAAATTGGGACAATCCTCAGTTGCTTAACTTCTTATATATGGTTCCCCAATATTGCAATATCATGTTGCCAAAAAATTAAGAAAGAAAGGATTTTAATTTTTTTATTTTTTTAAAAAAATCAATTCAATTATATTAAATATGACTTAATGTGACTTTCTCAGGAATTTTCATTCTTTGTTGGTTTTCAATACACACAACATTCCTAATCTTCTATGTTTTATCTCATGTCCAGTTTATTTTTTTCTTCCCACATAAGTATTGCTATAACAAACAAAAAACAAAAAACACAGAAGCATATGTTTTCATATCCAACTCACCAAATATATGATGCCTCCTAGTATTAGAAGGAGCTGTTATCCATTTAATTTGTTCTTCTTCATTTAGATTGGTCCATTCAATTACAAAGGATGTAACCACATAATCCATAGGTAAAAGTATCCAGGACATTATTACACAACTGCTGTTCATTGGGTAGATATTCAGAGTTTGCACAATGTTTACTAACTCAAACCAATCAAGAAACAAACAGAAAAAAGGTAATCAGACAGAAAATTAGAAAGCGAATTCATCCAATCTCTTAAAAAAGAAAATACAAAATTACTTCATTTTACTTTGTAGATTAGAAATCTTGTAAACTTCATAAGTAAAGAAAACAATAATATTACTAGATTGCCAATTAGAAGAAACAAGTTTAATTCACATGTAATAATACAAATAAATTTATTTGGATAAAAACAATATCAAATTTAGATCAGCAAACCCAACTTTAATATCCCTGGCCACATATCCAGATAGCTATACTTCTTTTTTTTTGTAATGAAATGGATATTAAAACATAGAGACTATAATTAACAATAGTAATATTTATTAAATATAAATGTAGTTTTTTAAAAATCAAATGTAGATCTTGGTTTTGTTTCCTCCACTAATCTCAAGGGCATCAGTGGAGAGAGGGGAATTAACCATGTCAAAATGATGGATACAATTGGGAGATCAAATAAAATGCCTACTATCTGCATTGGTAAAAAGGTGCATGACTTTATAACCCAACTGCATCCATTGTTTTAATGTATGACCCCATTGACACTTTTGCATGCAGTTTTGGACTGCGGCCTCTACATGCCATCCAAAAGTGACATATGGTCCTTAGCTGAGGTAAATATAGATCACTGTATGATTTTCATAAAAACACTGCCCATATATTTTGGCTATTTTATAAACAATACATGTATCAGCATTATAGTATGAGAGCGATAAAAATGAATGTATTCAAGATTTTGATTGGAAATCCTACACTTTATTTAAAAAGAGGACCTTCCAAAAGATCAGTAGTTTCTAAATACCTTCTTTATTTAAAAGTACAGTCATAGATTAAAAGGGTTGTGTGGGAGCAAGAATCCAAAATGGTTTCTCTTACCTGTGCTTATTTGTTGTGAAAGAGTTAAAATAAAATTCACAGAGGAAGGTCCAACTGAGTTGATTGCTAGAATTTTAACAGAATGTATATCTTCTGACCATGAAAAGGTGTAAGTAGTGTCATTTCCTATATAGTCAGACCAAACAATATTTTCTGATGTATTATGCTCTACTACATAGTCTAGAACACTACATAAAGAAAGATTCTTCATCAGTGGCTGTAAAAAAATACATATATATTAGATATTTTGTATTACACTTTAAACTAAAGTTTAGATTTTTTTAAATAATACAGAAGATACTTGATTCATTTTATAATATTTCCTACAAATATTAAATTTCACAGTCTTATGTAGTCATTTAGGTCAGAAATTAAACTAATTTGCTGGCAAATCAATAATTTTAAACTGATTTTTTTTTTCAAAGTGTACTGGAGGTTTTTAAAGTGTGAAAGCAATTAGATGGATTTCTAGTTTAGTAAACTCTCTGTGCTGGTTCCATATTTCTAAGAATTCTGATTAGAAACACCTGTTAGACAGACTGTTTTTGATTTAAGGCATTGGGTAGAATCCAGCGAGATAAGAACAGACTTCTGCTCATACAAGAGAACGTTCTTTCCTTTTCTGTCCAATAGCCCATGTAACCTCAGGATCTAATCTTTAGACCTGGGAATCCTTTGGATCAAATTTTGAAATCATGTAGAATATTTCAAGGCAAAGGAAGAACTGTTGGCTTTAGCTTTTATTTGCATTACCTGTTGACATTGCATGTATGGTTGTACCTGTTCAACTTTTTAAAAGTTTGTAGGATTTTAAAGAGCCATGTTATAACTTTTCTGATGCACTGATTTTGATAATAATAAATTTGTTTGGATCATGTATTCCTGAAAAGCAATGCAAACCTGCATTATGCCTATCACAAATAAAAATGCAAAAAAAAATATTAACCTTTAATTCCTTTGAAAACAAATTTAGAAATTCTATTACAAGACAACTTATAGCATTAAAGCCTATTAGAGCTTATTTTTCCTGAATCAAAGCTTAATCAAAAAATAGTCCTGAGAAAAAGATATACTTCTGAAAGTTGCATGTAAACAATAACAATTACATTTTAATAAGTGGTTACATTGTGGAATTTAACATTTTAAAAGACTTTCCCTTTTCTATTTAAAAAAAAAGTTCTTGATTAATATATGTTAAGAGTTGTGTAAATCAGGACAATATATAAAATGTCTTCTTTATATTTTTAACTAATTGAAAGAGAAAGCCAAACTGACTATTACCCCATCAACATTAACAGTAAAGGGGCTGCAGTTTTAGCTAGTTTCATATATCTGACTGTAAGGAATAGTAGAGCATTACAAAAAAAATTAGATGTTGAGCATCTTATTCTTCTCAGAATTACCTTCCAAAGCAAAGTGACATTTTTCTGGTTCATAATGGGATCTTCATTAATAACCCTCCAGAATTCAGGTCCTCTCAAAGGAGCTGAAAAATAATGCTTATTTTAAATTGTTTATATACAACTTGTTCTAAATGAAAATAGCCGAAAGCATATAGGTAAGATACTGACCTTTGATATCCTTAACAACTGTATAAGCAGATCTGCTCCAATCACTCCAATAGCCAATTCCTTCAGTCATCCTGCAGCGCACCTGTATAATGTAAACTATACAGGGATCTTGTACAGCAATACTCACGGTGGTAACCAATACAGCAGAAACTTCCTGAATCTATAAAAAAAGCAAAGAAACCTAACCAATATAATAAAATAATTTCTGAATGGCTAAAGCCAAGATTGGATGTCTGTTACATATTCTAGAGAAAAGAAACCCATCAAAATGGTTCTTTTTCCTCCCAAGATGAACCAGACACTAATAAAACTAACCAAATCCTCAGTAAAGCATTAGTCAGTTTGCATTAAATCAGAATGTACCTTCCAGTTAATATCTTCTCCACTAGCCGCATATCGAACTTGATATTGAAGGTCATTCTTTGGAAGTTCAGGGTTCTTCCAACTCACATTCAGTTGCCCAGTGTCCTCTGTAATCTCAGCTTTGACACTGAAGGGAGAGAATGGCTTCACTAGAAAGGTAAACAAAAGAAATTTGGCTGACTTACTGAATATCTCCCTTGGATACCTATGCATTGGTTCTTCTCTATTGCATTTCACTAAAAAGCAATGTATCCTGCAATTTATAAAAATGTGTCTTTGTCATACTTCAACTGTAAAACAATTGCAGTAATAACCTGTTGCCTTAAAAAAAAATAAGTTCCTTCTCATGAAAAACTCCATCTGTGATTCTTTCTCACCCAATCTAGAATCAACTCATTATCACTGTGTTAAACGTGTCCTGAAATCCAGAGGACAGCATTGCTCCTCCAAGGTTTTTCTGCTGTTCTTATATTTTTGGAAGAAGTATCATCTCTAGCTTCTCAATAATCTGGTAAAGACTGCTGGCTGCAAAATACTGAGTTGCCCAATTCTAAAGATTGTATAGAATTGGATTTCTGATTTTATACTTCTAAGACCAGCATCCAGGCATTGCACAGTAATATATAAAGAAGAATGGTTACCAAACTATAAACAAAAGGCAGGACAAGAAGCAATGGATGGAAACTAATTAAGGAGAGAAGCAACCTAGAACTAAGAAGAAATTTCCTGACCATTAGAACAATTAATCGGTGGAACAATTTGCCTCCAGAAGTTGCGAATGGTCCAACACTGGAAGTTTTAAATAAGAGATCGGACAACCATTTGTCTGAAAAGGTATAGGATTTCCTGCCTAAGCCGAGGGTTGGTCTAGAAGGTCCCTTCCAACTCTGTTATTCTACTCTACTCCACTCTATTCTATTCCATATGATGCAAATGTAAGATCTAATTAGAAATCATTTTGTTTTCAAATTAATTTTAAGTAAATTTTACAATAACTTAATAAGGAAGCCAATTCTTTTTTGTGGCTTTTAGAAATGCAACATGTTTAAACCTGTTCAGTAAAGATGATTGGTTCAAACTGCTCCAGAAATCACAGCAACGGTTGCTGACCTTCAGCAATGCTATAAAGTAATCATAATCTCAGGCCCCTTAAAGGCAATGGGGTGGATTTATAAAGTAAATATGTATTATTTTTACCCCTTATAACACATCATTGTCCCATTTTCTCATTCTTCACCACCTTCCCGGCAGGCTGACTCATGCACAATACTGGAGATCCGCAAGAAGGAAAATACTCAGAACAATGGATTGTAGGCAGGTAAAGCTGAGGAAGTTTAACTACTCTTTTTGATATTAAAATGAGGCATCTTTCATGTGCTGCTTTGTGATAGGAGAATACAACAAACAGTGCAGTCTTTATTGTATCTATAGCTGCAACAGAACTGAATCTCCAAAACCAATCTTTGACCATACATGATTTTGTTTTTGAATCCTATAATGTGATTCTTGAGCCAGAATAATCTGTTCTATATATCACCTTCCTATTTATCAACCTGGAAATGTAATAAAGACATTTTAGAAATGAAAACTTATTTTAAATGTTTATAGCAAGGCCTGATAATTCATTGCAATTTCATATGCATTTAATTTTCTTAAATTAAATGCATATGAATATAAACAGCTATCTTTATCTTCTACCCAGACTGACCAAATAATTAAAATGGCCAATTGAAAGGAATACTTTGGAGGCAGAATATGAAAAATAGAAAAAAAATTGAACCCAGGAGCATATATGTAAGAAGCAGCAATTACATTTTTATAATTACAGATTGAAATACAGGATACATCTTAAAATGAATGTTGTATTGCAGCTTGCATTAGCTGTATTACATACATCTTAAGAGGGAGGCAAAAAACTAAGAGTTTTTATTTCCTTTTCATTCATACATTTAAAAAGCTGTTTTGCAAACTGTCTTTCCTTGGAAATTAAATTTGTTACAAGCCCTTAAAGAGTTATATTTGAACATGTAGAGTATAACATGCAGCTTCAACAATAGCAGCCATCATCTCAAAGTCAAATCTCAGGCTCTGTCTCTTTGGGATATGGTATGTTATAGTTAGTAGGTAAAGTAGTCTTTATCACAAGAAAGTCAGTTTGGTGTAGTGGTTAAGATATCAGAATAGAAATTGGAAGAGAGAAAGCACAAAGGCAGCTGGATAACCTTGGGCCAGACAGTCATTCTCTGTCAGCCCTAAGAAGTAGCCACTGGCAAACCGCTTCTGAAAGCCTAAACAAAAATACTACTGGGATTTGTTCAGTCACAAATCAAAGTCAACTGTGACTTGGAAGCATTTCCCCCAAAAGGGAGGATTTTTAACGTGAAATCACAACCCCATGTCAATTTTCCCTTCTCCTGTCCTCCCCTCTGGTTGGTGCTTGTACTGTGAAGATAATAAAGAAGAAGAAAAAATGAAGGGGAGTAGTAGTTGGTGGAGGAGTTGGTGGTGGAGGAGTGAGAGAAGGAAACCCATTATATTTTTAAATCAATTTAGGCCATAACCCATTGCTGGAACTCCCTTTCACTTACCTACTTCTTTTGGAAGGACACATACTGGCCTTGATGTAACTGTTCCCAGTGAGTGCTTAATCTCTATCCACATAGTGTATCCAGAGAGAAGGTAAAAGGGTTGAAAGATGCACTCATAAACATTATTCCTCCGCAAATTGCATCCTTTTACCTCTGAATCTGAATGCATGCTAGGAGATTCTGAACAGTATATATCGTTTCTTAAAAGAACAAGAAAATAATACAGTTATGTAAACATAGCACTTGAGATCACATAAGTACTGTAAAATAACTTCTTCGTAAAAAGGAATCTAAATGATAAAAAGTGGTCTTCACATAACCTGCAGTTTTTTAATTTTTTAATTACAAAATTTATAGTTAACTATTTCAGCTTACTCAACTGAACAATTTTATTTATGTATTCATTTATTTGTAAAATTTATATGTCGTTAAATGTTATTTCAGCATATCTCCCTGAAATAAAGCTATGTTTTATAGTATCTCAAGATAAAAACAAAATCCTTAGGCAAATGCCTGGAAAATCTATTTGCATCTCAGAATGTCTCATTTTAGATCATCAGCACCATTGTCTCAAGTCTAATGAAGTAACAAGCCTGAAGCTCATTCTAACTATACATATTTTGCTATAATGTCTGAGGCTACTGGCTTCATCATTACATTTGAGGCTGAGTTTCTCCATATTGCCATTTCAGTCAGATGGGAAGTCAATTATGTGAAGTACTGGAAGACATTTGGCATGTATCATCTTACCAGAACCTGAGTACACACAGCTGGTGTACTCATGATTGATTACTTGATCGTTGTTATTAGTCATGAAAGATATTGCCTCTTTAACCAAGCCACAGATTTTGAGTCTCTTTGAAAATAGGTAGGTCATCTAGCTTTATATTTACTGTTTGGCAATACACCAAAAAAAAAAAAAAAAGCCTCACAGTTTGATGTAAAGCCTGCTAAAACCAGTGGGAATGCTGATATTGATAATGAATAGGATCTGTGAGGAAATGAATAAATGTCTCTACAAGATACCACACTAAAAAAAGGAACTGCCGTTATCAATCTAGTTTCTTTCTGCATTGATGAAAAACTAAAAGTGACAGGTACATAATATGTTTACTTTCATTCATGTTTTTTCTTTCTTTTGCAGACTTTGGGGAAGGAGGGGTGGGAAATTGAATTATTGTTACACAGCACTGACTGGTGACATCATCTCTCTATGTGAAAATGAACACATGAAGAAAGATTATTAAGGGGTAGGTGCCATATTGTAGTTAGAAAAGAGAGGCAGAGACAGAGATCATTTCTAGCACACAAGGAACTTCTTGTTCATCTTCACAATGACTCTAAGAAACAGGTCAATATTAATCTCATTTTGAGAATGGGAAACAGAGGTTGAGGAAAGGAAAGTGATTTGAACAGCATTTTGCAAAAGCTAATATCCAATGCTGCCACAATACTGAACCAAGAAGCCTCAAGCCAAATGTAATACGCACTCCTTTCCTTAGCAAAAGATCTCAGGCTAAATTTATTGATTTTAAATGAAACTCATTTTTTTCCTCTATGATGCTCAGAACTGTATTTGCAGCTTAACAATAAAACTATGAGTATATTAGGCTGTGAGACAATGACTAAGATAAGATAGTTCAGAGGTCTTCACAGTTAAGCCAGATTTGAATTTGCAACACCTTAGCTACTACCAGAAATGTCCGCAGGGAAATCAAGGGAAGGCAAATTATGAAAGCAGCTTTCAACATTTTCAAGAAACAATAAGATACCGTGGATGCTCCTGGTCACCTGTTATATGACTTACTTGTTAAAAGTGCCAGTCTGTGAGTGACCACCAGTTTATCTGCCCCAAAACACACTATCTGGGAGCTCTGGTCAGCAGGTACTGTTTAGAGCTAAAAGGTAGCAGCTGAGGTAGCACACCACTGGATTGATTAGAATGAAGAATTAAGATACCCAAGGGTCAGTACTGATCATCCTTCTCTTCAATGATGATAGTGAGAATGATTATTTATTTTATTTATTATGAAATTTATTTGCCACCCATCTTGTGTTCATTGATTATGAATGGCTTAAATCATAAAAACATTAAAAAATACATTTCCTAATAAATAAATACAAATAAACACTATTTTTCAGAAAGGACAGGTATAAGGGGAAGATGTGACGACTCAAGGACATTGGGTACTATGTTACATTCTTTAATACATTAAGTTACCCTAGAAAACTCAGATTAAGTAATCTAAGCTCAAAAAATAATCTTGGCAAACTATTTTCATGACTGGGTTGAATTAATAAAGCTGTGATTATCAACTCTGCAAGTAACACAAACTTTGGTAGCTTAATTCAAATAACAATCAAACTGGTTATCAAAACTGGTAAACTGGTTAGTTAAAAAGGTGATAGTTCTTTAAACTGTCATCTATACACTACACATGAGTTACATATCTGCACAAAGACCTGTGGAAAACTTTCTAAAGTTTACAGAGTCATGTCTATTACATACAACTTGGCTATGCACTGCTTCCACTAGAACCAATAAGTGACTCCAAAGGAACAGAAAGGACTGCAACTGGGCAAAAGGATGAGTTCCATAATATTAAGTACAGTTGATCATCATTTGACCAAGAAGTCAATATGGAGCATGTAATAATTTTATAATATCTTGATGAACATTTCTGAAGAACTCAAAATGTTAGCATATTCATTTGTGCTATTTTGGTTGGCCTTAAAGAAAGCATTGTTTCAGCAAGTGGCTGTTGATTCAATACCTATGTATGATTGGGCCTGGTTTGACCCACATGGAATATCAGTAGTACAGCAAGATTGGTATATTTAAAGAAAACTGCAGGAAGTAATGGCAACACTCGTATTTAATTGCATGGAAACTACATTGACATATCCCAAGTTACAGTGAATTATCTTGATAGGAGAAACATCTCAGCAATGGATGGTTCCAATCCAGCTAAATATATCTGGTAATTTATTTAATTGAATAGTTTTTTAAATATTTTTCACCTCAAGAAAGACAACAAAATCAGCACTATTACAACAAGGATTATGACCAGAGTGCAAGAAGCAGTGTCATGAATATAGTTTGTAATGCATATTTGTAATGCATGTTTGATTTCAAAATCAAAAGGGTCACAAAATATCTCTATTTCTGCTGTTTAAAAACCAAAATTTGGGACTTTAATAATGCGCATCAGATATTCAGTCTCAAAATTGTTATTAAGATCTAATACTGTAATGATGAGGGAATATAATAGGAATATAATAAAGGATGCTGGTCAAAGCTACAATTTCTAGCCCAAGTTCCTACTACATTTAGTGATGCAATTCCCAGAGGATCTAAATTATATTTAACCATGTTCTCTAAAATTTTGAGAGTTGCACTCGCCTCTGAGACTATCAGATTTGAAAAGGCTATTTTAAAGGGCACAGAATTCAATTTTCCCACTTAAATCACATCCAACCTTTCTTTTAATTAACAGTTCCTTATCGCTTATAGGATTTTCCTCAACCCTGTACTAACTTGAGCTCTGAAAGAAATAGCTTTTCAAAAATACTATATTGAAATGAACATATACCTGTAGTATCTTAACAGCAAAGTACTCTCCAAAAGTATTGGATCTGGGTTGATGGACCAGGAACAAGTCATTTTTTGTAAGTTGCCATAAGTTTCACACGTGATTTTGATATTAGTATCTATTTGAAAGACAGCATTAGTGAATATGCAAACAAAAAATAACGGTTCATCAACATTTATAATTGTAAAAACAATCTGATATATTACCTATTATATATAGTTCAGCATAACGATGATTACATTCCTTATTTTCATTACAGCAGTATAAAGCATTAAAAAGAAATTTTCCTCCAGGCTTCATTGCAGGCAAGTTGGTAAGTGTAACTTTGCTAGTATAGTCATTCACCAAAGTGTACTGGCTACTTGGGATTTCTTTTGCTAAATTCAACCACCAGACTATCTTCTTTGATGAGATCATTTTGTCTTTGGTTTTATAAACACAGTAAAAAGAAACGTTTGTTCCAACACTTGCTAGGAGTTTGGAAGGGAAATACATGACATCTATTACAAACAAAAGAAACAAGATTATAATATTTTAAATAATTTTTATAACATTATTCTTTATAAAACAACCACAAATGTTGGGATTTTTAACATGTTTCCCATGTTATTTTTTATTACGTTATAATTGTAATATACTGTACTTTATAATTATGTGTGTGTATCCATATGTATAGGCTTCTTTTACCCTTTTGTAACCTTTTACTATGTCTTCTGTTTCTGTAGTTTTTAAAATCCTTGTAAAATTTTGTTTTAATAAAAATTATTTTATAAATAAATAATCACATTTATTATCATCACTATCATTATTACTATTTTCAAAATTATTCAAATATACATCTATTTTAAAACTTGCAATTATTTAGAATAAATTCTCCATTTATCCTAATTAAGACTATATTGAAAGTGTATTTAAACCAAAGTTCATGGTATTATTACAAGAAAGATACTCCAATTTCAAATACTATGGACTATAATACATAAATTGCATGTATTGTGGCAAACTTGAACCTACTCAAAGTTGTTTTTACTATAAGTAATTCAAATTGTGTAACACACTAACACTTACATAAGTGGCTTTATATTTTTCAAAGCAGTTAAATAAAATGATCTAATATCCCGGATTAATAACATTTTTACATGAATATACCTTGTAGATCCATGTTAAAAGGTGAGCTCCAATCACTCCAAAGACCTAATTCCTGATGATTCTTGCATCGAACCTGAATTATATATGAAGATTTGAGTAATTCATTATTTATGGTCAGCGATGTTCCCATGGTAATTTCAGCCACCTATTAAATTATTTTTTAAAAAATAATACAATAAGAATAATGCCATTCGTTCACTGAATTTACTTTAAAAAATAAAATCAGAGGTGATAACATGAAGCTAATAAAAAAGAGGGTTTGTTTTCTTGGTTTTAACACCTGACGTTATATAAAGTTTATATGTCCAGAATGCAAAGGTTACATAGGTGCATTTCCAGTTTGGCTCATAGAAAATGCATTCAGTAATATAAAATGAAAATAGATTGTGCAACCTTTCACATATGCACATAGAACTTGCTTCCTAGACAATTCCATGCCAAACCTTAAACAGATTTAAATTACATTTAGGAAGTAGTATTTATGTTGTGTGTGTGTGCAATTGGAAGAGTAGATTGTAATCCCACTGCATCTCACTTAAAAGTATGTTTCAGTGCTTGCATTGTGATCTAATGAAATACAGGTAGTTCTCAACTTATGACCACAATTGAGCCCAAAATTTATGTTGTTAAGTGAAAATTTGTTATGTGAGTTTTGCCACATTTTCTTGTCACATTTGATAAGTGAATCACTGAAGTTGTTAAATGAGTAACATGGTTGTTAAGTAAATTTGGTTTCCCCATTTTCTCTGCTTCTCAGAAGGTTGCAAAAGGTGATTATGACACTGGGACACTGCAACCATCATAAATATGAAGCAGCTGTAAAGCATTGAAATGTAAATTACATGTCCATAGAGATGTTGTAATGGTCATAAGTGTGAAAAATGGTCATAAATCACTTTTTGTAACTTTTTTGTAATTTTGAACGGTCACTAAATGAACTGTTGTAAATCAAGAGCTACCTGTATAATCCAATGAAAGCGAAGCATAATTAAATCCTTTTTATTTTGAAATATTAGGTTTGTTGATTTTATTCATTTCAATACATAGGAGTCCAATAGAAACCATTACAATGAAAACCTGCTACAAATATCTAAAATGTGGTTTGTGTATTGATCTGACAACATGTATTTTGTCATTATTCTACCTTGTTGCTCCCAAATGTAAACTCATAGTTACTAGAAAACTATGCATTATTCTACATGTACTGAATAACCATTTTTATTGCATAGTTCATTTTTCAGTTTCTCAGAAAGTTAGGACTGTTTAATCTTAAATTAAGCTTGCCAAATTTGCAGTGACTCTCTAACTTACTTTATAAAAGGCTCAGAATAAGGAACCTGTCTCACCTGTTGAAAATTTTTAGTTGAGTTTGTAAAACACTTCACTTCGTATAGAAATAAATTGGATTTAGATGCTGGCTGAGACCAAGAGATTTTTATTTGTCCTGTCTCTGTCATTTCAACTTGCAGATATAATGGAGGGTCAGGTTTTACTGCAAAATAGTATGATAAACAATATACCTTAAACACATTTGATTTCCAGTAATATTTTAAGCTTGCTAAAAAGTTTGTTTTAATTTGATCATCTCTATATGTGTATACAAATATTACATGTATAAAATATATATTCAAATATTTTAAATAACACCATTAATACCAAGAGCATCTTTTTCAATCAATTTCACTTTAAGCAAGAAAGAGTATCCATGTTCCAGTTAAAGAAAACAATTTCAACATACTATATGCATAAATGCCTTGGTGAATTGTGGTTGTAGTCTGAAATAGTTGTGGCTGGAGGTTGTTCAGTATCCAAAAGAAGCAAAGTAATAATTAAAATTCTCACATATCTAAGCTTGGAAGAAAGATTTCCCATACCAGGCAATAGGTTTGGTAGAAAAAGAACAAAAGTAGGTATTTTTCAAAAAAGATGAATAATACAAATAAATCACTGCGTTTTTTAATTCATGGGATGGAAAGTTTCACAATATTCCCTTATATTAACTTAAAAACTGCCACTTGGCTAGGTTGAAATCTAAATATAGATATTTAAGATCAAATATCAAATAATATACAAATTATATTATAAGGAATTATAGAATTTGATAGTATTTGTTGAAGGAGCTACAATTTAAATACTGTATTATATACCTCATTGTACCTTCAGTTGGCCTATATGTTATAATAATTTCACTTATTTTCCATAAATATTCAGATAATATATATTTGATCTGAATCACTGTTATAAGCAAATGATGTATAATTCTGTACTACTGATTTGAATATTCAACTTTTAGCACTATTCTTGAATATTCATTCATTTCACAATTTTATATATAGCTACATTTCTAGGTTCATTTGAAGAAGCACTGCTTTGCAAATACGTTTACTAAACCAATATAATTCAAACAATATGACAATACTTACAACTGACATAGTTCAAACATTATTGTTGTTATTAAAGTATTTAATCATTTACAAATTATTCAAGATATTTGTATAATGAGTGAAGTGATGTACAATAACTAACACAATACATCAGTAAACCAGTAAGTATGATTAAAATCTAAAAAGGCAATAAAATCAATATTTGCACTAAATGGAGTTTACGATAGAATAGATCAGATGTAAAGTTTTGCTAGAGTCGGAAACAACTAGCACGTAGGTGTGAGGAGAACTTTTACCTTTACCTTACCTTAAAGTTTTGCTAAAAAATGATTATTTATTCCTATGAATATATACAAGATTGCATTTCTATTGTAATTCAATACCCAGTGATTTGTATTATGAATATTCCTGGGGCTGCTGCTTGAAAAAGTGTGCACAAAGGCAAATCTACATTTTGTATTAAAAGAAAGAATCTCACTTCATGTGACTGATTTTTAAAAACTACCACTAAAAACTCTGTGCCTTGGAAGAGTAAGTTTAAAAGTGGAAGTTAACATCACAAACCTCAGTTTCGCAATTCCATTGCACAACAAAGTATAGCTGACTTTTGTATAAAGTTATCTTAATCTGTATTTTTAAAAATAGATCCAAACTTTGCATTATTTGAAGTGATGTAACTGAATTTTACCAAAAGCTATTTTAATTCTCCTAATTGGAAGATTTAAAATATCTGACTATTGAATAACATGATTTACAGAAACATTGCATAATTTCTGTAATTCCATCAAGTTTCCCAAACATTAAACTATATTATAATTGATATAAAACACTCATTCTAAAAAGTTTATAATAATTTACTAAACTAATATAATGAAGAAACATTGTCTGACTATTTTTGATTATAATAAAATACAAAATAGTTCAGGCAATGAGTAATTTTGAAGCAGTTACTTATTAAGCCAGAAAGTATCAAAAGATTAAATGCAACCATCATCTGATTATATAAAACTCTTATTTAATTATATAGAAGTAAAATAAAAAAAGTAAATTACATTTTAATGAAACAAGCATTGCACTAATACAGCTACTAAAAAGTAACCTTTCACAATGTCAGCATCCCATCAAAGTTTTTTTCGCCTATTTTTACTGTTCACACTTGGAATAAAGCATTACAAAGTGAAATTTAAACACATGAATTTTTTCCCATAAGAACACAGATCAACTTCCCCATTTTTATTCCATCAAGGTATGTTGAAACTACAATTTCAGCAAACAATTCTGGGAGTTGTAGTTGCAGAACAACTAAGGATACCACGAAATGGAATGGAATGGAATGGAATAGAATAGAATAGAATAGAATAGAATAGAATAGAATAGAACATTGGCCAACTGTGACTGGAGACAGAAGGAATTTGTCTCCGGTATATAAGCTTTCAGTGTACATATGAACAATGAAGTAATACAATCATAAGATACCAATAAGAGAAGGTAGTAAAAATATTTTATTAGAAAATACTTGTATCTTTGTCTTGTCAAATCTCCACACTCATTTGTGTGTTTTGTGCCACAGTGTGGATTAGGAAAAATAATATATTTTTACAATAAAATTTTACAATTTTATTTATAATATACTATGAATTTAAATAATTAAAATTTACTTATATGAAGTCTGAATGTCAGAATAATGAAATGCCAAAATATAAATCACAATATTCAATGAATGCTAGATTTATCACTAATAATATTAATTCAACATTTTAGGGAATTCATTCAGGACTAGTATCACTAAACAGAATGACTGTTTTACTTCTAATTAAATAATGTTGGGATGCCAAAAATAAAAAGATTTTAACATAAGCATTTCATTCTGTACTGCCTTTCCCATTACTTCATGGGAAAGAATTGAAAGAACTGACCCTTTTAGAGTAAGTTTGACTTAGCCATGATGTACATCTATACCTGTAAACCAAGGTCATCTTCATTACTGTGGAATTTCAAGAATAATTCCGGCTCAGTCTGACAGAGCTTGGAAAGCATGCTTGATGTTTTTACTAATAGATCAAAACTTACCAATATCTATAGGCTTGACTGACATCAGTGGTGACTGCAGTAATATAGTTCCATTAGTGATCTTGAGCCACATAATGTAAATATGATTCAGTTTTATTGAAGATATCTGACATTCATATTTTTGGGCTTTTAGAGTATTACAATGAGTAACTGTAGAATTTTCCTTTAGTAAATTTGTAGAAGCACTTTCCAGTGATGCATCTGTTCTGAAAAGAAAAGAAAATCAAGCATTTTCTTGTGATTTCTTTTACTAGATCATGCAGAGGACTTTATTAGAAATTCTGTAAATTGCTTGCATTATGTTTGTTATGCATGTAAAAAAGGAAAAAAAAACCTGTGTTGTAAATGCCACAAAGTACTTTAAGTTCTACAAAAGCACAATAAAAAATGGGCAGCCATTTTATATAATTATAACAATCCATTCTGATTATAGTATTAAAATACATTTCTACATCAATATCTATACGCACTATAAAGCCATTCCTGTGGCAGACGGAAAAACAAACATTTGTGTGATGTGCCTGTACCATTGCACATATCCGATTTGTATTCATTTTATCTATTTTATTTAAAACAGAAGAAAAATGTTCATAATATGAAATCTTCACTGGTCCCAAACTGATCAGCCTATGGAACTCCCTGTCTTATCCTGTAGTGGTAAATATGTTTGCTTGTAGGCTAGCTACTCATTTGCAAATAAACTCCTTTTGGGAAAGATTTGTGAAATAAGCAAGGAGGCAGAGTGCCCAGGCAATTCACGGGGGGAGGGGGACTTCTCCCCACTAAAACTCCCACCAACCCTCTAGAGCAGGGATGTCAAACTCACAGTGTCACGGCAGCATCATGTGACATATCAGGACTTTTTTCTCCTTCATTAAACCGGGTGTGGGGTATGCACAGCGTGTGACACATGCAGCCTCCAGGCCGCGAGTTTGACAGCCCTGTTCTCTGTAATTATAAAATTTGACTGGGGGGGAAAGAATCTAACTCCAAAGCTACTGCAGTGTTTTACATCAAATTTTTATATGTTCCCATTTAACAAAGGGAAAAGAATTTGGGGATGACCAGAAGTTAAATTGTTTTATAAGGAAAAACCGTAAGACAGAAAGTAAGAAGACAAAAAGTAAGAAGACAGAAACCTCAACTATAGAGCAGGCATGGTTTGAAGGTGACATATTGTGTTGCTGTGTAAATGTGGAGTTTATGAAATAGTCCAATTACCCACTTACCCACTTGTGTAGAAAGATTCAAAAAAAAAAAAAACCCAAAAAATTGACACAACTTTCGGACAATTATTTAGGTAGCTTTGGACAACCAGAATTTCCTGCAAAAATTGTTGTGTATTAATTTCATATGGTTGAATTCTCTGGGTGAATTCTCCCATTGCATAGCCAAATACTGTGAAATTTTATAAAATATTTTTTTAAATCCTATAGGGAAGGAGAAATTATTTTTCTGAAAAAAAATAAGTCTACTTGATGCTTTAAAGAACCAAATCTTCAGTGAGTGAAACACTTTTTAAAGACTGTTTTGAAACCATAAAATCATGCTTTGGGAGCAGGTAGAATCACATTATTACAATCCTGTTTTTTTAAATATAAGTAAGTTAATAAATATCAAACACGTTTATACTGTTTGGAAAATGAATTCCTGGGAAAGGGTGAAGAATGGAAGAAATAAATGGAAGGAGCTGAAAACCCTTCACAGTTGCCTTTGTATAATATTTTTTTATAATATTAGATCCATTCTCCTTGGAATACTATTGAAATCTTTTCAGAATGAAAAGGTATAATTTTCTTAATGTTATAATCTGAAGTTTCTTGTTTTTAGTCTGTACAGACATAATACCAACAGAACTAATGTCAACAGATATGCAACAAGGCAAGGAAAAAGGCTTGCAAAGAGAAATATAAAATTGCATCTGTTGCTCTTTAAAAGACTATGCCTCTTTTCAGTTTTTTCTTCAAAATTATATCCATCAAAATATAAAATTAGCACTAAAACAACAAAATTAATATTCCTCAAATATTCTTAATAATATAATATGCTTTTTTTATTTCAAATTCTTTTGAATCATGTGTATGACATCTGTATGTTTTTTTATACACATCTATTTTTTATCTTGTCTAGTTTTGCTTTGTTTTTGCATTTTTTTTTCCTTTTGGGAGTTTGTATTTTAATGTTATGAATAAATTAAAAATATTGACAAAAAAATTTAAACTCTTCTGAGTTCACTGTTTGGACTAGATTATGGAAAGTTTGGGTTTTTTTATTTGACAGTTACTATTTTGTTTTCCTTCCTCTAAAAAAATCAGTTCAAAATATCTTCTTTGGCTGACCTCTAAATAATTTTGTTTTTTCACAAACTAGAAAACTGATCAGAGGAAACAAATATCTTTTTGAATATATATTAACTTGTGACATCCAAAATGGAAGGTACTGGATGAAATGTAATAAAAAGATCAAATTAGCCCTTGGCAACAACAATGTCAGTGTGAACAGAAGCAGTAACTAACAAAACACCTCAGCCCTTGTGGCAGATTGTCAAAGTAATAAACTAAACACACACATAAATTAAGCAGTGAGTGAGTTTAGCAACGGGGCAAGACCAAGGCAGTTGATCATTTCCTTGCCTGCAACAATGAACAATTCAACAAACAATTTTTAAAAATGCTATGTAGGAGAATTGTCATCCAGCATGATTGATCTCTATGTTTACTATCTTCTCTTAGTTTTTAGACAATGGTTCTATTCTTGATAGAAAATAGTATTTGTAGGTCAGGGTAGAATTGTGGGGTTCTTGGTGCAGTCAGAGCTGGTTGTTTTCTTGCAGGTGTTTTATTGCCAAACTATGGTTGATATGATGATGTTACTTGATAATGAAATGTCTACAAGAAAACATTCAGGCTCAGAGAGCACCAAGAACCCCACTGTTCTATTCTTTTTAATCTAGGGACAATCAGTCTTTAGATAAGGGTTGCTCAAATGTGGCGGATAATAACAATCAGCTATTTTCTTCTCATTTCCTTTCTCCCTTTCTGAAGGACAGATTTGGCCACCTTTCACAAAATGAGAGCTCCTTCTACCTCTGAATTTGGATTCAAAGTTTTAACACACCAAGCTTTATTTAATATATTAAGATCAATTTGGAAGACAAAAATTCTGCAATGCAATCTATGCTAAATGGGTGATCATTTTTCATAGTAATGGTTATGATAGAAGTACATGGAGGAAGAGTAAGACAAATGATCCAGCGTATTCTTCCTAAAGTTAAAAGCAGGATTTGGCGCTTGAATAATACATAATTTCCTCCTATGAAAGACACTCTCCCAGTCCCTTCCAAACTTATAAATTCTGCTGTCTGTATTTTGCATTCTACTGCCAATAGCAATAGCATTTTGACTTATATACCACTTCACAGTGTTTTTACAGCCCTCTCTAAGCAGTTTACAGAGTCAGCATATTGCCCCCAACAATTTGGGTCCTCATTTTACCTGCTTCAGAAGGATGGAAGACTGAGTCAACCTTGACCCTGATGAGATTCGATCTGCCAAATTGTAGGCAGCCAGCAATGAGCAGAAGTAGCCTGCAATACTGCACTCTAACCACTGCACCACCATGACTATATTCTCAGACAGCATGTAAACACTCCATAGAAATATGCAAAGCACATCAATATCACTAACATTTCAAAGAAAATAAATATTTCTTCTATGTCCCAGCAAAGTGGCAAGCCATAACAGAAATAGCACAATCAACGCCCATATCTTCTATTTCTGGTTAGCAATGGAACACCTGGTACTGATTTCCAGGCAACTTCTCAGCTAAATTATGGGTAAATGTCATTCAAATGAAGCCACAGCCTATATGATGTATTGCCCTAATTTATGATATAGTTAATAATAAGTGCCAACTCTGGATTCATGGGTGTTCTACATTCTCAGTATCAAATATCAGTAATTTAATATTAGTAATTGAATTTTTTTGCACTACATTGGAACAAAGGTTTGTGATGCTGCAAGTTATTGTTTCAACCCTTCAATAATTAGGAAAAAATTAAACCATGAAGGCAATTCATAACCAAAAAAAGTCTCCAAGTATATCTCACGTAACTCACTAGTTACATTAGAACATTAAAAATATTGTGAAGGAGCCAAAACAATGTAGAAAAATAGAACAGATCGTGTGCTAATGAGGATGATGTTATTGCCAGTGTTGTTGAAATTGAATCTGGAAATGAATATGTGAAATGCTGTATCATCTTTGGTGGACTTATGCTGAAGAAAAGAAATATTGGGAACAGATTCATGTTATAATACAGAGGATCTTTAAAATTAACATAAAATTGAAAGCTGAAGTTTTTCTTTTAGGATTATTGGATAAGGAGTTGGAAAAAAGATCTGGAACTTCATTACTGTGCATGTTGATTGCAGAGAGAATTCTTTATGTACAGTAATAGAAAAGTATGTCAATGCCCACAATAGAAGAATAGATGGAAAAAGTGATGAGAGCTAGCAGAGAGGGCAAAATTTAGAAAAGAATACATCCAGCTTTATTTCTACCTGGAAACCACTTCTGGACTTTGTATTCGAGTCAAAATATATATATGAAATCTTGACTTTGGGTTTCTGCTGACTAAGTTAGTTTGTTATAGAAATAATTAGTACTTGCTAAATTGGTAAAGTAAAAAGAGGCTGCAATTCTGTTTTATATTTTACTGTGCTGAAATATTTTGGAAATCAAAGATTACTTTTTTTCATTTCCCTTTTACCCTACACTTCTGTTTCCCATCATTTTCATTTCTCATTTCTATACTATCTTTATTTTCATTTGTATTTTATGATCATTCTAATGATTTTTTAAAGAGAAATAGAACATCTAAATACTCAATGACAATGATATTTTCTTTTGTTTTTCAAGTATCTTCACAATTACTATACCATTAAACCAATTCACAATAGAGGTCATAGAGATTAAGAATGTGTTGTTGGTCAATACAAGGAGAAAGTGTAATTGGGAACCTTAAAAAAAATCATAATGGGAACTTTAAAAAATAAAGTTATGAATTCATATTTTTGGACCATATTTGTGGTAAAGTGTAGGGGAGAAAATATTCTGGTTTAAGTTTGTGCTCTACTAATTGCAAGTGTTCATTGTTCCACTGGCTGCTATTTTTCTCTAAATTCCTAAGAGAATTCAGATGCAATTCTCAATATCTTACTTCTCTCAAAAAAATTAACTAAACATATTACAATAAGATCAATTTCTTTTAGAAATCTGGAAAAAGCAATATTTCTAGGAAAAAATAAAAATGATTGTAAAATCTGGGCAAAAATGATAGGTACCCTGTTTCCCTGAAAATAAGAGCTATCCCAAATATAACCCCTAGCATGTTTATGTGTGCACCTAATATAAGCCCTATCCCCAAAATAAGCGCTACTTAAGGCTGCACAGTCATCTACCCATTCTGGTTGCTCATGGTGCCACAGCCACAAGGCAATGCAGGGGGTGTGTGTGGAGTTGTAGGTGGCCTGGCTGTGGGGGCCTTGAGATAAGCAGTTGCGGGACACATGGGACAGCTCCATCCATCCACCTCGCGGTGCTCACCAATAAGACACCCCCTGACAAAAATAAACACCCCCAGACTTATTTTTGGGCAAACACAATAGATAGATAGATGATAGATAGATAGATAGATAGATAGATAGATAGATAGATAGATAGATAGATAGATAGATAGATAGATAGATAGATAGA